CATTGTGCTCTCTTTTGTACTCATCAGCACTGTTCCTACCCCCCCCCCCCGCGAGCACAGGGTGAGACGGATGTCCTCGGCCTTGCGGGGGGCTCTGCTCACGTGTCAGCCGTGGTGGTTTGGAGCGGTGTCAGAATTTAACCTATTGGGATAATCTTACGTACTTATAAATGAATAATAGTCTAGCAAGCACCTGTTTATGTGTCACAGGCTAATTGTTCCCCTGTGCCAGTGAATTGTGAAGGCCATCTGTAGCGGTAGGACAGGACGGTGCAGCGTGTGCTGAAATATTGATGATGTTGCCTCTTTGAAAACAGAAGAGCGTTCTGTCTGAAAGGATCATGTGTGTCGTTAGCAGGCCCCATTATTTTAACCACACCCATGCTATGATATTTTTGACTGTAATATTAGACACATTTCTAATTCAAGAGCGATATATATTTCTTTCTAGATCCACCATTTTGTGGTGAGCTAAAGAGGAAGGTGAATTATAAAAATAACAACCACAAGCATCTCGTACTGTAAACACATTTAAGTATTAAGGGTCATGGTGAGATTAAATGTGTTATTGATCTAAACAGCCACTTTGACACATTTTTAGTCATATATAACAAGGATTTGTAGACTGTGCGCCCCGTGTGTTGGATCCTTGCCGCAGCAACCTGGGTTTGAATCCAGCCAAGGTCCTTTGCTGCCTGTCATCTCTTCTCTTTCTCACCTGCCTCACACTCACAAGCTTCAATAAAAAACAGCATAAAATGCCAAAAGAAAAACACAAAATACAAACAAACCAAGGCTTTTAGACGTGGCTTGGTTTTGCATACATCTCCAAATCTACAGGTGTAACCGATCACATTTTGAGTCTGCTCATCATTTCCTCATTTACATGGCAGTTGCTCTCTCTTTGCACTTATGCAAATGTTTTCCATCATGACCTGCATCATGTCTTTCCCGGTGTGTACAAATGGTCCTACGCCCAGAACAAAATTTGGGCCACCACTGAACATGCAAATCTTAAAATCTTCAGCTTAAAGTAATATATTTGTGCATCTGAAAACTGATTCTTCACATTGAACTACACTGTTTAATGCTCATTTTAATTTTGCAATGTCTGTAGGTTTGCCCAATTCTTCCTGTGCCCGCTGTTCGACGAGAGCTGTAAGGACCGGGAGGTGAATGCTGTGGACTCCGAGCATGAGAAGAACCTGATGAATGATGCCTGGAGGCTGTTTCAGCTGGAGAAGGCCACAGGCAACCCGAACCACCCCTTCAGTAAATTTGGAACAGGTAGAAATCCTCCAGAGTTGACGCCAGTGCTCCCTGAAACTGAACATGATCACATTATTCATCATTACTCGTTCTGCTTATTGCATTCTGCCTCCGTCCGTCTTTCACAGTGGAGACATTAACTGAACCCAACTTGAATAGTTACATATTTATCAGTCTGCTGGCCAAATTCGCTGTGTAATATTTGAATATATGGAGTTCATATTACACCACCTGTGCAATGTTCAAAGTATTTTTCCACACAGAAGTTTACGGTATTAATGACTGGTTACTCAGCTCAGTAATGACCTCATTACAGTGAAGATTGTGAGACATTAGGCAGCAGAATTACCCCACTTTATTTGTATTTGCTAAACAAAAGGACACATTGTTCTATAACAATAGATAACATGTATAGAAAGCCACTATCTTTTCACATGCTACAGCTGTGATCTCTGACATTTTTAACACTTTCTATGACTCCTAAGCATGACTATTAACATTTACTTAATTTGCATGCATCTGTTGTGTGGGGGAACGCGCCTCATCGCATTAGAGGAGTTTACTCTTTGGGCCAGTATATTCCCCGATAGGAGTGACATGGATTTGGATCAGCTCCGAGCTCAAAATAGCCACCTGATGGCAGTCTTGAATTATATAATCGTTATTCCAGTTTAGAGTGGAAGAGGATCAGACAGGCCTGAAAGTCATGCCCTCTTAGTGGACCAACATAGTCTTCTCAGGATTGTTACTTTGTTTTTCTGTCTGTGTCTCAAACAAACCTCAGCCACTGGCCTTTGACTGGCCTCTGAAGCGCTAGATGAAGGCTTCAGTTCTATTTGAAACATAGCAGGCAGCCAACTTGTATCTGACAGGCTACTGTCACTGCGTCAGTATAAAAACGTTGACTGTTGGGTTCTCAGGTTGAATGATTCACAGAGTTTTTATCAGGTGTTTATCTTTCTGTCGAGGACCATGCTGACGTTTCGCATCTCGTTCTAAAAACAGTCTTGTTCCAGTCTGTGCAGTGATCCTTGTGTCCATTCCCCATAATGAACTAATTATCTGTCCGTACTCAGATTTGTAAATGTGTTCATTCAAACTACATTGATAATTGCAGTTTGGCAGTGAAACTGGCAAAGAAAAAACAAATGTTCACCATTTAATTATTATTTTTTCTTAAAGGTAACAAACTGACGCTTGAAACCCGACCGTCTAAAGATGGGATTGACATCCGTCAGGAGCTCCTGCAGTTTCATTCTACGTACTACTCCTCCAACCTCATGGGACTCTGTGTGTTAGGGAGAGGTAAGAGGTCACCTCTCACAAGTGTGATGCTTAAACCTCACTCGGCTTTAACAGCAACGTGTCAACCTCAGATTACACAAGACAACAGAGAGGAACGAACAATGCAAGTCATTTAGGACTTGGTGTACATGGCATAAACTATTATATATCAAGTTTTATTTGCAATTATTATACAGCAATACAATATATCATTTTTAAATCAAATTGTGATACTGTACCTTGGTAAAATAA